GTAATCCTTCTGGATGAGAAGAAGTGATTATTCGGAATAAAGGAGTTGTCTAACTATTTCAGAAAATCTGTGAGTTATTTTTTTATTCCGGAAATATGAGCTATGAATTATTTTGGGAGCGCAGAAGCAAAGCAATTATTGTGCTGTCGAAATTTACAAACTTCTCTAAATAAAACCATGACTCTCTCAAAAAGATCGCTTATTTCTCTAATGAAATGAATGACTTAAGAATTAATTTCCAACTTTTAAAAATTACAACTCAGAAATCTGTTATATTTTTCAATTTTAAAGTCAATTATAAAAATGCAACTCAATTATTTTATTGGAAGTAAAATTGATTTTATCATATCATAATAAAACAAACATTTCATATAATTTGAAAAAACCATGTCGAGATATTTAAAAACAATGATCACTCACTTCTCTGCAAAATTTTATTCCAATAATAACTTAATTACTTAATTATGTATATTCCGTTTTTCCTGTCAACAAAAAAAAAAAACGAGTAAAGAGTTAAAGCTAAAGATTGAAGAATGATAGGGTAAAGTAAAATTGAGATAAATACTTTACTTTTCAAAATAGTATGATACATTATTGCAAAATTATTTCTTAAACATTACTTTCGTTAATACTATTTGCAAACAATTTTTTAAATCAACTTAACTAAATTCTAAACTGTAGCATTGTAATTAAATAAAAAGTGAACAAATAAAAAATCAAAATAAGTTTTTTTATTTTTAATGTTAACTTTTTTCTTTTTTTATTTCATAATTTTCTTTATTCTTAATTTTCTTTCACGATATATAACAAGAATATAATGCTTTTATGATGCATTATATTCTCTTTGATGAATATGATGTATATACATAAACAATGTTATTTCTTAAAGTAATAATTTTAACTTAGCTAATGTAAATTATATAACAAAAAATTTTTTAGAAAAATTTTAATTAAATTATATTACAAAGTATTATTTTCATTTTTTCTACTCTAGGAAGTTAGTAATATGAAAAATATATGTATTTTTTTGGTAAAAATTATTAATAATAAATTGGATAATTGTTTAAACTTCTTAATAGCACTAAGAATTCTAATATAAATGTAAGTTGTAAGGATGGCATATTTTACAGAAGTGAAAAAGTTCAAGTAGGATATTTTGCTATGAATAGGATTGTTTATTGTCAACAAACAGATACCATTACTGTCATTAATGCGATTATAAATAAATATTAACCAGTGTTAAAAGAAAGACATTTACTAAAATTGTTTGGTGACAAAGCTTAGCCGCATTTCTTGTGACACTTTCATTTCTTTTTTTGTTTACGTCGGTAATAGCTTTTGTATTGTAGAAAAAAAAAAGAAAAAAACCAGGTGCACTTCTATACCTTTGTTTGATGTAAGTAAAATAAATCATTTTTTGATTTAGATGGATAAATAAAATGAATAATTATTCACTTTATTAGACAGGTGATATAGGGGACTGATAGAGTGAACGTTTTATTAATTATAATTATGAATGAAATTATCTAATTAAGCTACTGCAGGACATATATCAAATTTATCATATTATCATAATCAAAAATAAAGCAGAAAAAGAAAAATTATTTTACTATTCATCTTCTTTTTTTAGGGTTAAAGAGGAGTTAAATTTTCATCATATTTTTCTCAAGATTACTGTATTGTTTGAAAAGATTTTGATGAAAAAGACAATAAAAAATTTTGTTACGAATGATTAAATAAAAGGTTTTTTTTTTTTTTTCGAATAAGAAATAAACAATAATTTGAAATATTATACGAGAAAGAGCGAATATTGAATATAACTGGGAAAAAAAATGATTTGGAATGAAATGAAGTTAGAAAATTTTTTCTCCAATAAAATAACTAATCTAATTATATTAATACAATGGTTTCAATACAATAAAAATTCATCTTTACAGTATCTTTAAAAGTTTTTTTTTTTCACAAAAATTTTACTAAATATTATGAAGAAAAAATTTTTTGTTTACTGATAAGTACAATGTATTTGCCCTTTAATGATTATCAAATTCGAAATTTTATGAATTGATACGACAATCACTTACTGATTCGGCAATACTCAAATAATTTAATTTATCGTAAAGAGGAATGCAAGAGTGGAAACTGGTGGTGAGAGGAGACTGATAAGAGTGCGGTAACAGCGACGAGAATCAGGTAATGAGATGATGATTATATAAGGATACTGTAGGTTCAGGTCATTGTCATTGCTGAATGGTTGGAAAACGAGGTAAATGGTGATAGTAATAGCGGTTGACAAGTTCGCCGGAGGTGATAGATAGATTGTCAGACAAATATGGCATATTTTGCTAATTTGAAGGATTAAATGATTTATTTGACATGATTATGCAAAAATTGTACGAAATTATGAGTTGAAAATGAATTTTATTAAAGTGATAATTCTTTTATACCAAAAAAGAAAAGATAAATAAAAAAAAAAAGACTAAAATACGTGAAAGATTCTTTTAATATACTTTAATCTAGCATGTGATATGGTGGTAATTGTCGAGAATAGTCTGAAAATTTCCGACAAATTTTTACAAAAATATTTTAAAATAATAAGTTTACTTACAAAAGAGCAATCAAAATGAAACATTTAACTAACGCTATAATATTAGGTAATTAACTTCTGAACTTTTTGAATTCCAAAATGTGATCGATTAAATGATTCAATATCATTTCATTACGCATTGATGACATTGATAAAGCTGCTGCAAATTAAAAGTAAACAATATTTTGATAACAAAATATTTAATATTAAAAAGTTCATAGAGGTTACAATTATAATCATGAATTAATCATTTGTATTTCTTTGCACTGTTACTAATTACTTACTAATTATTAATAAAACAACTACTGATTATTATGATTACACGCAATGTTTCATTATTTTTATGTTACTATCATTGTTATCATTGCTATTATCTTTTTGTTTTGCTAATATATCATCTATCATTTCAATAAAATTTTAAAAACAATAGAATTGGTGAATAAAAATAGGACGATGAGCTTAGTAAGTTTGAATTGAGAGAGAAACGAAGAGATGGCAGCATATCAAAAAATCGTTCATGCTTCTAGGCGCCATCATCAAACGGCGGCTTTTTACTTTGATCTAATGCAAAAATGTAATGCATAAGTTACATATGTATGACTGTAAGCTGTATCATTTAAAATTTCTTATCAGCAAATTTTTTTTTTTGTATTGAATGGAATTAGTGATAAGGAAGACGAGACATTTCTGAATGTTATTACTATGAAAATATCATTAGTTTTCTTGGTATAGTTCCTAAAAATATGTTTTAAATATTTGATAATTTGTTTCAACTTCTTATTAAGTGTTATAAGTCAATCTTGTGAACTTTGCGCTTCTCTATATTTCACGTATCTTTCACAAATGTTTATTTTAGCAAATGTTTCCAATAAGATAATTTCTTGATGATTTAAATGATGAGTCAGTGCTATGATCAATCAATAAGATTGTAACGATATCAGATTGGAATTTAATGATGGCAATTTTAACAAAGTGCAAAGTGCAAACAACAGGATAAAAAAGCAGTATAATTGGACAGGTATGTTGTTGTTGGACAGGTATGCTTTTGGCTATTGTCAATGTTCAAAACTGTCCTTTCAAACTTTCACATTATAATTACATCTTCGTTTTTTTTTTTTTTTTTTTCGAATTTCCGAATTTCTAAAATGGATTTATCGAAATAAAATTTTAATTAAGCAATTTTAAAGAATTGACTTATTAAAATTCAAATTTTCATACATTGAATGGCAAATCTTTATCACTGTTCCCTCTCTCACTTTTATCTTTCATATTATCTTTGTGATAAGACTGACTGAGTGAAATAGAAGTGATCACTATCTTTTTAATTAACTAATTAATAAAATTAATGTTACTTATTTGATCTTTTTACGGAGTCTAATTTAAGGAACCCATGGGAAAAGAGTCGAATATGTTTTCCAGTAGAAAGTGATCAAAAATAGTCTTTTGTCAGTGTTGATAGCATGGATAATTTAGTGATCAGTCATCATCAGTCAGTTTGTCAACATTTTTTCAGGTATAAAATGGAGAAACTAAGATAGAGAGATAGAGAGAGAGAGGGAGAGAGGAAGATATTATAAGAAGGGAAAGAAGAAGAAAGAGAATAATGGTTAATCGTTGAGGTTCGGATTATTAAAATGAGAGGAGAAAGGTGCGGTTGTAAATCGTTGTCATAACGTCTAAACTTTTGCTTGTCGGCAATTCATCTTTGTCACAAAAGGAAGAAAAAAAAAAAACCCCAAATAGCTAATGCCTTACTTCTGTTTCATATCTTTCTCTTCTTAGCGCTCTCTCTCTCTCTCTCTCTCTTTCGTTTTTATTACCTCTGTTTTGTTGCCGATTATTATGATACGATGTTGGAAAGAGAGAGGGGAAAAGATTGAAAAACTAAATGAGAGATAGTAGGTGACAAAGGAAAGAAGAAAGAGAAATTTTTACTTATTTTACAGTTATTTAGTTCTTATTGCAATAAAATTAAAAAAAAATTTCAATGAAACAATTATGGAAGCAAATTCTTGAAAAAAATGATAAAAAATGGACAATTTCGTTAAATCAGTTTTTCATTATTGAATAGGTTTGAAAACGGATTGTTTTTTTTATTTAATTTAATTTTAATTGAACAAATTTTGATTTTTATTGCATCCTTCGAAATATCACTTATTAATTATTCAATTTTAAAATTTCTAATAAAATATAACAGCTTATTTTTGTTTATTTTATAAATGCTTTTTCGCAAAAAAAAAAAAATCATGCATAATTTATATATGCTTTAAAGCTAATTATTTCAATAGAAATAATTATCAAATTTAGTTGAAAAAAACATAAAAGTTTTTTACACAAGAAAAAAGAAATTAAAATATTAACTTAGATATAAATTTCAATAGTAATAGAAAGTAGTTGTAAAATTTTTTTTCTGATTTTAATATGAAGCAAACGAATTTATGTGAAAGTATTTGAAAGCAGCATCACCATCATCACTATCACTATGACCACTATTACTATCACCATCATCGTCATCATCATCATTATCATCATCAACAACAGCAACAACACCAGCAACAGCAACAGCAACAGCCAACAGCAAAACTGATGGTCGTCGCTCAGAAGGCAGTAGTGCATAAAAGTACCGTATACCATTGGCTCATAAAATACGAATATGCTCGAAAATTGAAGAGATGCCGACCGGACCGATACATAGACATACGTTATGCACAGATGAAATGTTGGGAGAGCGTTAGATTCGGGACTGACAAATAGCGACCGCCATTTGATAAATGAAAATTATTGCTTAGAGTAAGTAGAGCTGAAATATGTTTGATCAGATTATCATATCAAAATGTTAAGCAATTGGTTGAAAAGAGTTGATAATAGCTATCAGAATTATATCATTACAGTATTTATCTAATTTCAATTTATCATCAAATAATTTCAAATATTTAATTAAAAAAAAAAAAAAAAAGTTAATGTATTAAAAAAAAATTCGTGGACTTTTTTTAATCTTATTTATTAGAGAAAAAAAAAAAACACTAAGCAATAATGATATATTATATTTATTGTTATTATATAAAATGAAAAAACTTTGAAAATTTTGCAGTGTGTAATTTGTTCAAATTTGAAAAATAAAATTACAAACTTTTTAAAATTATACATATTTTTTTATACTTTTTAAAATTATTCATTTTTCATTAGAGAAATATACTAAATGAAAAAAATTGAATATACAAGTGCGCTTCAATTAAAAAATACATATACTCATGAAATTTTCATCCAAACTGACAAAATTGCTTTTTGGAACTGATAAATTTTAAATGTTTTCATATTATTTTAACCTTCACATGCACATGTAAGACTAAAATGTTGAAATAGTCGCTGAAATGAAAAAATATAAATTATCTCGCATGCAATTCTTTATGTTCAATATTGATTTTCATTTTATGGTTTCAATCAAACTTAAGCAACAATGAAGCGAAATTTTTGCATACATAAACTAATTTTATTTTTCTACGTCATAATTATGCTTATAACGTGAATGACGTGATTTAGCTCTTGGAAGCAATCGATTTTCTACTTCTGAGTTACAAATGCACAGATGGTGGAATAAAAATTGAGAAATTGGTAGTGTTTCGGCTCGAAGGGTTGGTTGGCTGATAAGCAACAACAGCAACGTTGCAGTTACGATGCTAATAAAATGCAGCTTTGTTAAATTAAATTCAGCATCCGACAAGCGGTTCAGCATAACAACATTTATCCTGGAAGAGAAGAGATGAGGGACTATCAAAGAAGAAAAAAAAAAGAAAAAGAAAAGGGAAATATCCTAACTAACGATAAAAAGATATACTTTAAATGTAAATGGAAGTATAATAGCATTCTCGAATTGAAATTGACTAGAAGAATTTGCAATTAAAACTTTTCCATCTCATTTTATCTCTGTTATAATTTTTTTCTCTGGAAACTTCTCATTATTCAATATTAGTAAGTGAAATCACAGAAATTGCTGTGATAAGCAGGAATTTGCATTTAAACGTTACAGTTTCTAAAAATTCAAAATTGTTTCCCGAAAAAAAAAAATGCTACGAAAAAATTTTTCACTAAATTTATTCTTTGAACAAGAAAAAGCAGTAGGATTTTACGCAAAAGGAAAATTTTAAAAAATTAAACTTATTTTATTAAGTTTTTTATCAAACAATTTATCTTGTGGTAGAAGATAAATGTGAAATTATAGGATATCTCGAGAAATACTGATTTGATTTGGAATTTCGATTATATGTTATCACTGTATGAGAAGTTTGAGCAAATCAGATTCATTAAATATTTATTAATTTATGCAATTTCGAGCATTAATTCAACATATATTCAAAATATAATTAGTTCTTATTAATATTTTAATTTAGAATTGTTCATAAAACAGTGATGAAAACCAAAAAATAACGAAAAATAGTGCATTATGCATATTCAATCGATGATAATATATAAAATTTAAATTCCTAAAACATATCATTGAATATAATTTCCATTACAAAGTTAAAGAAAAAAAAAGCCAAACAAACCATTAAGTGTCTTATTGCAAGTTTAAAGAGAAAAATCTGAACAATATTTCATGAATCAATTTGAATATCAATCAGCAAGACTGGATTTATTATCATTGATATGATAAGAAAAAATAAAAACATACAATTATTTATTTTTAATAACAGTAATTAAAAACACAGCAATTAAGCAACAATTTTACCTTTTCTTATTCTAAAAGGAAATGATTCAAAAGTTAAACTTCATTCAATCTAACTAAAATGGTAAAGTAAATATCACCAAATATGGTTAATTATTTTTTCTTTTATAATTAAATCTTTTCAAAAATAAAATATCAGAAATCATTTTTTAATTATATCCATTTCATTTTCATTTTTACATCGTTTTTTTTTTTTCTCATAACTTTCATGAATATAAATGAATATCGAATAAATAAATTTGCTTGTTTACATTACAATTTGCATATGCAAATGATTTACAAATAGATATGCAAACGTACAAAGGTGAAATATGTTAACTAAAGGAAACGAAATTCATGGAAGAAGGTGAAGTGAATTTCAAACCAGTTTTAAATCAATCTTAACGGATAATTTTGACAAAACATTTTACATTTAAAATTTGATCTCGTTCATTCACTTTCATCCTTTTTGCATTTTATTCATTTTGATCTTTTCAAATTTATTCCATGATTGATTTGTCTCCTTACATCAATATTATAGAATTATATTTGATAGTTGCGACAATATATTTTAATATATATTTATTTTTTAAATAATTTCAAAGTTTTCAATCTATTATTTTGGTTTATTACTCCAATTTTTATTTTTTCAAAAATTTCATGCCTTTTTGCTTAGTTTGATTGCTTATTTAATTGAAACTAGAAGCTGCTTTTCAAATCATCAAATTTCCATTACAGTGTCTAAAAGTTATTTAGAATTAAGCGACACTTCAATGTAATCAAAAAAATTAAACTTTATCACTTTATTGACATGATAATGTGATTAAAGTAAGTGCATAACACGCTTATAATGAAACTATTATCACTTCCGTAATAAACAAATAAACGAGAACACGTAAGTAAGTAGTACTAAATTTTATTTCTATAATTGAAATATTTAATACCCAAAATTTGTTATAAATTATAGAATGCATAATTATATTTATATTTGTACTATTTCCAGCAATATCTCTCTTCAATATCCTTTTCTTTATTCCTACATTTATTTTATCTCTTAGCAATTTGTCAACCTCGTCAACCTTTCAAATACTTCAGATACTGTCCAGTTTTTCAGTTATTCTACCTTCTGTCGTCCTATTCACAACAACTATCATCGCAAGATGCATTGATTTATTTCAAAGCATACAACAAAGAAATTCTGGTATTTCTGATTTTTGTTTACATTTAAATATTCTCTGCTTTTTGATGCACTGATTTTGTTTGCAACGAGTATGAAATCAAATCTGTAAAAATTCATTGAACAAACTTTTTCTCTTATAGATCGTTCTCTCTTATTCCATTTATATATTTTATTCGATCATTAGTGGTCTGTTCAGTAAATAAACCAAAATTTTTCCTAATAAATATGTTAGTAATAAAAATAAAAAAATAAATTTAACTTTCGTTGTTTAATTTTTATTTTATCTCATCGTTCATTTCTAGTTTTATAGCAAACAAATACTTAAATTTCAAAACAATCTTCAATTTATCACACCAGTGTTTTTTTTTTTTGGTATTTAGTACGTGAACTGTTCATTTTTTAAAAAGCTATTTATAAAATTGTAACTGAATTTTGCATAAATTTTTTGATGAGTGTCAAATGGATGATATTTAAGTAGATTTTGCGGGACGTTAATAGTTTTAATTAAATTTCCACGCATTTCACTTGACGCATTTTTGCTAATCTGTTTGTTTATATGTATTTTCAAGAAGTGATTATTTATGCATGGTTCAGAATGTATATCATAAGGCGGAGAATGGAACTCAATATCTTTATCAAATTGATATGTCCCTTATCATCTCCAGAATTACTTCCTCAGTTAGTTCTTTTCGATATCAGTAATTTATCATGATAGTATTTTGTATTTTTAAATGTGTGACACTAAACAAAATAAAATGAAAGGCTTCTATTTATTATTTGCTTTATCATAATTTTCGGATTACTCAGTAGTGATTAATGAATAATTACTCATTTTAATCGACTTATTCACTGAGCCGATAACGAAGAGATTATTATTATTATCATTATTATTGTTATCATTATTATTACCTTTATTACTATTATTGTTGTTGTCAAATTCAAAACAATAATAAAATTTGTTATTATTATTAATATTATTATTATTAGCAGAAAAGTTTTATCAAAATTTTAGGAATTAGAAAAATAACTAAATTATTGGATTAATCGTTTAATATTTCACTTTTAATTATATATTATATAGTATAATTATATGAATAAATTTTTATGTAGAATTTGTATTTTTATAATTAAATTAATAGACGTTTCTTCTTTCAGTATTTGTTTTTTTAATAAATTAAAATAAATAATAATAAATCAATAAATAATTTTTAATAATTTGCTATTTTCACAATTAAATTAATAAATGTTCCTTCCTTTAAATTCAGAAGCGGTGAAGCCAGCAAAGTGATTTTTATTTTATTTTAATTTTTTTCTTGTTTCCAGCATCTCTATTGTTCATACAAACCGGTTCCATCAGATCATATCTGAACTGAGATAATGCCTTTTTTACCTTGCAATGATCCGTTGACATTGGCATTACAAAACATTTATCTTTAAAAATTATTTTAAAGTTGTTTTATGTGACCTAAATTAATTAGTCCTAACGGTACTTTATGCAAAATAAATTACGACTCAGTGATAACTTCTATGAAAATTTATTTATTTCATGATTAATCATCGAAATTTCTTTTTCATCGAAATCATCAAAAATTTAATTTCTTCTTCCTGATAATTGAACTGTATTACTCATTTATTTTACAAGCAAAATTAAGTTACTGTTTATGCTAAAGCAGTTCAAATAATTCTTAATTCAGATATAGTTTACTTGTTCAACTCAAATATGATTTACTTATAACTTTCATTTCCTTTTTTTTTATCTTAACCTCTAATATTTACTTATTTTTAGAATTACTGCACATCCTTTCAGATATACTTTAGCTATAATTCATTAGGATAATTAACAAATGATGATATGATCAGTTGCCGCTAATGCTCTAACATCAATGGAGGTATCATGAAAGATATGAAATTAATTCAAAAAAAAAAAAAACAAACAAACAAACAAATGATATAAAATTAAAAATTATCTAAAAAATCAAAAAAATCAAAAAAAACTTTGAAATTAGAAAAAAAATTGCACTTTTCTATAAAAATTAAGCTATCATTTATATTATTTTTCATACATTCATGCAAAACTAATTTATATACAATCTTATTTCATGTTTTACTCCTAATTTATACATAATTCAGTTTTAACAAATAGCGAAGCTAATTGAAATTTCAACAAGCAGTTTATTAAAGTAATATTCCATTTCATTGCATAATTAAATCATCAAAATTCAATTTTATTAAATTTAGCAATTTTGTATTGCAATGCAAGACTGAAGCGATACCAATAGATTAATTAATTTCATTAAGAAAAGAAAATGAATTAAAAATTTTTGATTTTCAAAAAATTTTTTTTTTCTAATTCGCTCTTTTCGTCGTCCTTTGAAATTGACAACAAATTTTGTTCCTACTAAAAATTGAAATTAGAAAAGCGTAAAAGTTTTTCTTTGTGCAAAAATTAAATAGCTCTAATGAAACAGTGAAATTTTTCTTAAAAATAGAAAAATTTTCACATAATCGATTTAGTACCACTTGATGGCTTTCAAAAAAAAAAAAAAAAGAGTGATAAAACCAGTATTAAAATGGTCATAATATTTTAAAAATTAAATCTTTTTGATGAAAATATTCGCTATTCGTTTTTTTTTTTTTTTTTTGCAAACAAATGCCACAGTTTATTAATAATATTTTGTAATTAAAATTGTTTGTTACACTTTTTTTTTCTTAAAATATTTGAAATTCTTGTCAAACTAATTATAAAACTGCGATAAACTTATTGATAATAGCTATTATAACATTTGTTATTATCATTAAATTATTTCTGATAAGAAGTTGTCAAAATATTTAGAACAAATTATTGCTTATACTTGCTTTTTAGTCTAAAAATAATCGCTAAAAGTTATTCTATTCATTTGATTTTACTACAACTTTCATATAGTAATTTTGATAAAATTAACACTTACGTAAATTAATACCTACGTTACGTCATGCATTCTAACGTAAAAGAAATGTATAGCTAAACATACGTTGAGTTCGTCAATATCAAAATAATTTTCTATCAGCGTGTTGCAAAGTCAACGAAACAAATTATGAAGTGAATAGTTGCCTGATCAAATTGTTGCATGTATCGATCTGATCGCGATCAATCGATAAATGGCAATCTTTATTACTATAAATACTAAATCTATATTAATCTAAACAAACACAAGGAATACAAATTGTCACCAACATCGCTAATAACAATTTTGTCACCAAAAAAAAAAAAAAAAAACGACTATTTCCTGTTTCAATTTTCTATTAGCTTTAGTTATTATTATTATTACTATTATCGCTTCCGGATATATCATGTAATAAGTTTAGAACAGGTTTGATTAACAATAATGAGATGATTGTTTACATTCATAAATGATTACATCTTTTATAATTCAATGATTTTTATCATTTCTGTGGTATTATCCCATGCATAAACTATCTTCATTTCATATATTTTGTTTTTATTCTTGAACAATTCATTTGATATGTAGATAGCATAGCCGGTTTTAAATTGGAAATACGATTGAGAAGCAATTTACTGATCGTATTAATACGGTTGTAATGATCAACGGGTTCATCAATATCTTTCTCAAACATATCAAACCGGATTTTATTTGAAAATTTCTTTTATATGGTTCAAAAATTCTTCCATTTTGAAAGCTTTATTAATTTCAGGTTGCAAACAGTTTTGTCATTTGATAAAATGCTTTTTAATATATTTTACGATTTATGTGCATCTTTTTATCATAAATATCTCTTACAAATGAAATAAATTTTGTGAAAAATAAATTTAACATTTTAATTATTACTTAAATTTTTTGATTATTAATTACAAATAATTTTCTTTTATTTTTAAGTTATATGGAAATAATTTTAAAAAAATGCCTAAAACTATATGATAAAATATTTTTCAACTTATAATTAATGGAAAAAAATTCTCAAAAAAATTTTTATCACTTTAAATTGCAAAAAGAATTTGAACCGATAATAATATAAGATTAAATTTTGCTACAAATAACAATATTACCTCAGTTATTCCTGTTAAAATTTTATACTTTTTTTTTTTTTTTTTTAAAGAATTATATCTAATTAGAAATGAAATACAATAAAGTAACTAATGGAATAAAATACATTTTGTGAAATATGCAAATGATCATTTGAGTATATTCAGAAGAGTTAATAAATTATCTATCATTAAATAAGTATTGAAGAAAGTTTTTAATAATTATAATTCATTTAATGCTTACTTTTGTCAAAATTTCAATTCTTTTTTTGGTTTTAATTAATTCTTTTTGTTATAAATATGTTCTTTCTTTCTTTCTTTATTTCACTTTATCTCTTAATTGTAAATGTAAATTTAACTAATTGAGCGAAGCATTGTTAATGTTCCATTGAGAATTTGGTTTACTCGTAAACCAGTTCGATTTATAGTTATATCATTAGCACAAATTACATTCATTTCCCAAGTAATTAAATTATAAATTCATTCTTCATATATAATCACAACTATCATTGTTCATTCATACAAAATTGTTTATTATAGTTTTTTTTTTTTTTTTTAAATTTTATTATAAAATTTAATTCATTCTAATGCAAATTGCCATAGCAAAAAAAAAAAAAAAAGCAGTAGTGAAATTATGTTAAAATTGCATAGCACTAATTATAATGAAAATAAATTAAATTTTATTCAGATATTTTTCTGCTATAATTATAATTATAATTTTAGGTTTTAATTTTTGGGAGCATTTAGCTTCAGTGATTCCTCCTTTGTGAGGAAATAATGTTCAGTATAGGAAATTTATTTATGGTATTAGAATTATTTATTTCATGTTTAACAGGTTTGTTTCTTTTTTAGTTTATCATATGTTAAAATTACTATTATTATTTAGTTTACATTTAAATTATCATGCATCATTACTTATTGTAAAAAACATTATTGTAATAGTAATAGATACTTATATTAGAATATTGTACTTATAATATTTATATGTTGTACTTATATTAGAAAGTGTAAAATTTGATGTGAGCAGAGTTACAGTTTACAATTGTTTGCATTAAAAAAGAGTTTAATAGAGGAAATGAGTAAAAATTATTTCATTCGTGTGTTTACTTAAATTTTAATAAATTTGAAAGTTTGAAATCTAATTCATTGCTTATAATTTAGATATTGATGCATATGTATTAGAATCAACTGCACTAACAGAATTTGATTTTGAAAATGCTAAATTGCTAACAAAAGGTATTTTATTGTCTAAATTTTGATTATTGTTTTCATTGAAGAACAAAAAACGAAAAAACTAGCAAATTTGCGATAAAATATTTTACTTTATCATAGTGAAATATTCGAATTTTAATAATAACAAAAAGTTAATTTTCCACAAAGATAATTATACATTAAAATGAATTACTATTTAATTTCAAAATATTTTTAATATAATTGAAAAAAAAAAAAAAAATCAAAAATTTCCTTTGCTTCACAGACGAATTATATAATCCGAATGCTCTTTCGCTTGAGGAGGTAAATAAACATCGATCTGATATACGTGGTCCAATTGCTTCCAAAAGAAGATTTCGTCGAAATGGTATTAATAAACCAGCAAAATTATGGCCTGGCGGTAAAATACCATATTCGATATCACCGCATTATACAAATTTAGAACGAGCATTATTAGCTAGAGCTATCAAGCAGGTAATTTTAATTAAATAATTGAAATTTGAAAAGAAAAAATGAAATTAAGTGATACATCTATCACAACCAAAATATTCTCAACATATATTGAGCGCAAATGTGAAATTATTAACAATCAAAATGGATTTTTTTAAAAATAATTCTCAGCTCAAATAGTGTCAATTCATAATTTCATAGCAAAAATTTATGTTTTAATTCTAAAAATTGATAAATTACAAAAGTAATTCTTTTTTTTCTTTGATTTTAGAATAATTAATATTTTTTTAGATACTTTTTTATTGTTATAGAATATATATATATATATATAAATTTTTTACTAATAAGCAATTTGATATTTTTTAATGCTTATTAAAAAGTGTTAAGTGCTTACTTATTATTTTATTTTTTATTTTTTTTTTTTTGCAGTATCATGATAAAACATGTCTTCGATTTGTACCTCGTTCTCCATATGAAGGAGATTATCTTTTCATCGGTAAAGTTGATGGGTATGTTTTTCAAAATTTTTTACAAAAAATAAAATTATTATAGTATTAGTTGAAAAATTTTTCAATCATACTTATCTAATTAAAACCTTTATTATAGGAATTGAAAATTTTTTAAAATTTAAATTCCAATTTCTAAATACAGCATTGGTTATCAAACTGAATGTTAATTCATTTTAATTATTTCATTATTTGATAAAATTTCCCATCATTTATGATATATTAAATCAAAATTGTTCAAAAAAAAAAAAAAAGACACAACACAACAAAGATAGTATTTGACAAGATTATTAATTAGTAAAATTAGTTATAAAATGAAATAATAAAATGATAAGAAAAATAAAATAATTTTTTTTTTGAAATTTTTAGATGCTTTTCGGAAGTTGGACGAACAAATGGTGTTCAAGTGTTATCGCTCGATGACGGTTGTTTAGAGTATACAACAATTATTCATGAAATGATGCATGTTGTTGGATTCTACCATGAACACGGTTAGCTATCCAATATTATTTGCAAAAAGTTTAACTAATTCAAAATTTTCAAAGGGATTGTTTCATTTCCGGAAAATCATCTAATTCAAATCTCAAAAAAAAAAAACTCAAAAAGTTTAAAACTGACTAATCCAAATGGATTGTTTCATTTCCGGAAAATCATCCAGTTCAAATTTCAAGAAGTTCAATTGACTAATTCAAATGGATTGTTTCATATCCGGAAAATTATCTGAAAATATTATATAAATGGCAAAATTAATAAAACAGTAAAAGAGTGAAGTATTCATGCATCAAATTAAACTTGCTCATTTCAATTAAAAAAATATAGAAATAATTAAATAATCTTAAGTTGGAGCTAATATTTTTTATGAAAAAGCTTTATGCTAATAGAAAGAAATTTAAAATATCCAATGTGACCAACAGGTGAAATTGAAAAATTGAGTTATTGATTTATGAAAATTAAATTTTGAAGATTGACACCAAAATGATATCATTAAGAGAAGACTACTGTTAAGGATATTAAAAATACTAATTATCACTATAACAATTAAGCCTAATAGCAAATGTTAATAAAAAATAATAATAATTTCAATTACATTGTCCAAATTTGAAAATATTGTGTAAAAACGTAAAGTTTTTTTTTTTTTTTAATTTCCTTTTACAATTTAAAAAAAGCCTATTTTCATTTTAGATTTGACAGAAATATAAACAACACTTTTTTTTCAATCCAATAATTAAATGAATTATTACTATTATTTTATTTTTTTTATTTTTTTGATATACAGAACGATGGGATCGTGACGACTACATTAATATTTTTTGGAAGAATATCGATCGCAGTATGTGTCACTAAGCTTTGTCACTTTTAATTAACTCATAATATTTGATTTTCATCTCTTAATAATTAGTAAACACTCAATTTTTTATAATTTCTAACCATTTATTTTAGAAATTCACTCAAATATATAATGTAAAAATTGTTAAAATAATTGTTAATTATTATAAGTGTTCGTTAGCTCTTTAATGCTTTCTTTTTCATAAATTTTATCGTACGAATGATTATTTAATAATTAAATACATATCATTTTATATTATTAGATAATCATTGAATATCACAGAAATTTTTTAGATTGAATATCACAGGAATTAATTTTTTTAGATAAGAATTAATTTTTTTTTTGTCTATTTAGTGCTCAATTATAATAACGACGACAATAATGCTAACATCGATTATTTTTTTAAAACAGAAACAAATACTAACTGTTATTTGTATAGTAAAATCATATCAATTTTGTATTATTAAATAATAACTAATCTCATTTATTATTTTAATAAAAAATTAATTGTTTGATTAATTTTGAAGCAGCAATTGATCAATTTGGGAAAGTTGATTTAACGAAAACTTCATATTATGGACAGCCATATGATTATCGTTCTATCTTGCATTATGATAGTTTAGCATTTAGTAAGAATGGCTTTCCAACAATGCTTCCAAAACAAAAAGGTAATCAAATTTTTTTTGTTCTTAAAAAACAAAATTATTGTATGAGAATTTGAAATAATTCGTATAAATTAAAAATGAAAAATATAATTGGAAATCAGTGAAATGAGTAAATTTGAGACAGTTTTCTCAATTCATAATTTTACATATGTAAATAAATCTTTTCTCATATTAAAGCTTCGATCTATCTTATTCCATTTTAATTTATTCTTTTCATTCAAAATAATACCTTCCTATTCACACTTTCAAAGAGATTTCCTCTTTTCCGCCTGGATTTGTATGGCGGAAATTTTTGATAATAAAATTTGGTAATAATACAATCATTTAATTAATAAACAATCTAATGAAATTATTATTTATTATGAATTGTATGAATTAAAATGGAATAAGATAAATCGAAGCTTTAATATGAGCTTCAATATTGTTAGCTTTCTTACAAGTAATATGCTTTCCATTTAAAAATAGCAACTTTCTGTTATCACAACAATAACAATTAATAATAGTAACAAATAACAATAATAGTGATAATATTAACAATAATAATGATATGACAATAATAATACTGATAATAATTATAATATTAATAATAATAACAATAACAACAATAGTGACAGTAATAATAATAACAATAATGATAATAGTGAGAGTGATAGTAGTAATGATAATAATAATGACAATAATGATAATAATAACAATAACAATAATAATAATATTAATAGTAAAATGATAATTTTGTAGGATTTGCATCAACAATTGGTAATGCGAAAGATTTTAGTGAGATTGATTTAGCAAAAATTAATCGAATGTACGGATGTTCTGAGTCATATTTCAATTCATTGCATCCAAGAGCTCAGGTATTATTTCATTTGGTGGCTGAAATGAAATACATCGAATTTAAAATCATTTATTTGTTAATGATACTGTGATTACATTTAACATAAATAGTATCATTCTTCTACCAATGATGGTGTCACTGGAGGGAAGCGGAAAAAGTTGAATTGATACGGGCGCTAAATTCTCATTTCATATTTTGTTACATTTCAAAGTTTGTTTTGCATATCTAAGCAAAGACTAAAGACAATTATTAAATGAATACTAAATTATTTAAAAAATGAAGTAAATTTCTATAAATTCCATCCTAAAATTAGCATTTTATCTTATAAAATATGAATTAGGAATTTTTTTTTCAAAATTATTTTAAAGAAGAATTAAAATTTTTTGTAGAGTTCAATGATTTATGCACCATCACTTAAACAATATGAAATGCCACCTGTGGATGATCATCATTATGTTGACGAATTTTCTGGAAAAATGGAACTTAAAAGTAATTATTGACTATGTTTATTACTTATTTAAAGCTAATTTCTGATAATAAAATGGGTAAAAGAAAAAAAAGATTAAATTAAGCAATAATTGAAATAATTAATTTCTTTTGTAGATTGTAAGGATCGCATAACTTCATGCTGGATGACCCAGGATCGATGTCATTCTCAGGCTTTATTTATACTCATGAAAACATTATGTGCCAAAACTTGCAAATTATGTTAAAGTCTTTCCCTTTTTTCCTTCTTTTCTCTCTCTCTCTCTCCCCCTCTCTCTCCCTCTCTTCTTCACTTTCGTAAAAAATTGAAATGAAATGTTCTTTTGTTATATATTTTCTCAGTTTTGTCACAATTATCGAATGCAATTCATATCCTTGCAATGACATATGGTTAAAATAATGCTTTAAATTGTCCATCATTCTCAAAGGTCAAAGGTTAGCATATTAGTCACTAAGTTTGGTAGAGTTATAAAATTTTTCAAAATTTATATTTTGATACGAAATTTTTTCCCTTGTTTTTTACAGTTTATTCTTAAATACTATATCTCATCAATTCTAGGGAACACATATAAATGAATAATATTAATTTATTAATGGATGAATAATATATCATAGATTCATCTTATACCTAGATCATTCTTAACTATTTTTTTTTCAGTTAATTTAAATTTAAAAAAAAAAGTAGTCATTTTATTCATAAAAATTATCAGCTAAAGAGTTCCCCATATTGTATCATACATTTGAGAAAGAAATATTAAAACAAAACCCCTTGACAAGTGATAAAATTTAAATAATATTTCACTTAATTGTTGGAAAAAAATATATGAATTGTAGGATTGTAATTTAAAAAATATAAACCTATAAACTACCACTATCGATAGGAGGAATTTTGATTGTTCCATTTCTGCAAGTGTTATAATCTAAGACATTGAAGTAAAAGTTTCTCGTTTTGTTTGCCACTGAAAATTATGTTTCGGAATGGTTTATTACTCTTTCGGCGAGATTATTAACTTTTTAATTTCAGAATATGTCAGTACTATTTCTTGCTTTATCGAGCATTGAAATTTTTGTCGATTTCAATAAATGCTCGACTTCTTTTTTTTTCCAAAGTCTTCATTACCGAGCCCTTGTTTTTGAACTTCTTTATTGCTGTTACGATTAAACTTGGTGACTTGAATGATCATAACTTTTCACAGCAGTATAACTTCAAACTTTTACCGCGATGAAAAACTGTAATACAGATTAAGACGCATAAAATTACTTTTATTAATACAATTATTTTAATTTGTTTCAAAATAAATTAGTCCATTTCGAAAAAAAAATCAGTTAAAAATTGAATCTGGAGCAATTTTATACAAAACGGACGGCATATAAAAGATTTTAGCATCAAAAAATTTAATTGGTGGAACTTTTGAAAATGTTTTAGCCTTAATAGAAAAAATAGTCCCCGATCACTTTCTACACGTTAGCATATTTCTTATTAACATTTGGAAGTCTATCAGTGGAATATACAATGGGATATACAAATAAATACAACTTGGCAATGCAATAAAAATTATTGTTTCCTTAAGAAATGCATCATCTAGAAATCATTTTTACTCTTCAATTCATTTCATCCTTTTGAGCATAAGAAAAAAAAATCCAATAAATTAGAAATTACTCCTATCCTGAATAAAAGAAATGAGTTCGAGAAAGTAACGACTTTTGCTCCAAACATAATCATAAAAGAAGGGTTAGCACAAAAAAAAAAAAAGAAAAAAAAAAAAAAAACCTAAAATTACAATAAAACTAATGATTCTAAAGCTTTTCAATGACTTGAAAAGAAAAAAGGCACCATAGTTTATTTTCATAAATAAAACTGCAGTTTTGCAGGAAAACCGCAGAACAATACTATATACAAAAATGCTGAATGGTGATTCCTATTATGGATATATTTCGGGATTTTTCATAGTTCTAAAGCATCCATAACACTGATAATATTAGTTATGTGGTTAGTAGGCTATGCTCCTTTTCAGCTAAAAAACTCCTGAAACGACAATCAAATTTAGAAGACTTTGAAAAAGCAGTAAAAACCAGCTTTGAACCACAGATTTCACTTTTATTTCAAGATCAGAGAAATAAAAACAAAGAAAAAAAAATTAAGAGAATTACCTTACTGCAAACCAAATCCACGACTATAGCTAATTGCTTTGGAAATACGCTCTCTTGTTATCTCAAGATCACCATAATCGGGCAATAACATCACGTTGTAGCAGGTATGAGCTGTTGGCAGTCTGAAATTATTTCCAAATCTTGAAAAAAATATACAATTTGAGCGGATCGTTGAAAGATGTAAAAGTTCCGAACTACAAGTTTTAAGATTATTTCAGTATTCATAAGACCAATAATAGTAGTAATAAGTGAAATTCGTAGCACCAAGTGGAATAGCTGGATAGGATATCATTAAGTTATAATGTCATAAAAAAAAAAAACTAAAATATTTCTAAACATTAAAACAGACCTTTCCTTATTATCACCATTTCGAGCAATAATAACTTCTAATTTTGCTAAGCCTCCTACAGGGACCCTATCGGAACCCGTGATGAATTGAAGCAACATTTTCTTTTCTTCCGTGTTCATTGCCTTCGCCACTGCCCAGAAATCCTGAAAAAAAAAAGTTCATTAATTCATAAATATGAACTAAACAACCATGTAAAAACTAAAATCATTCAGTCACACTTTGAAGTGTTATCATAATACCAACCTTTATTGTTTGACTGGTTTCAGTAAAACCGTTTTGATATTTTGTACATTGTGCTAGTATATCGAAATCCAAATCCTAAAACATTTTCTGCAGGAAACATCAGAAAATTTAGATATGTATAAGACTTAACACACAAAGTAATTCTTTCTCAATCTAAAAAGAACAATAAATGTTTTCTAATATTGAAGATCTATGTACACAACAGTGTATAAAAAAAGGACTTTGAACTTTCGAATTTCCATGTCAAGTAAAAGAAGGAAAAAAGCAAGAAACTTACAAGTACACCACAAACTAACTGTTCGACTTCATCAGGCATAAATAATCTCCTCAACAATCCACGGTTAACTACTTTATTAAAACCCATACTAAAAGCATCAAATTGCCGTTTCACCGAACGATTTAATAAGAAATCAGCATAACAAGCCACAAATTTCTGAAAAAAAAAAAAACGCCCTGAATAATACTGAGGTTGACCTTACAGTTTGAAACTAGGCGTATTAGTTGTCAGTATGTGCGATAAGACTCCACAAGTTTATTACCTAAAGCAATTAAAACATACGAAATGCATAAAGTAACCTAGAAAATAATGGTCAAAAATTATTCAGAATACTTTACACAGTAATACTACAAAATATCCCTTAAAAAAAATTATCGATTTAAATAATGACAAACCTCGAACATTAATCAGTACAACATTCGCAGACTATTTTAAATAAAAATCAGAAAGATAAGATTAAATAACCTTTTTATTAGCAAGTGTTACTGGTATATTTGCACCATTTGGTATTAGCTCTTCATCATGACTGCAGCCATAAACATCTTTATATGAAATTTGAAATGTATAATTGTAAATGTTTTCTACATCATCATTACATTCAAGCAATTGTCGTAATCCACTGTACAATTCCTAAAAAACGAATCTGCAACTGCAAAGCAAAGCAAAGCATTATAATTACGAATTTAGAAAAACTCATGAAGCATTTTAAAATAAAACCAAGCAATTGGGAGCACCTAAAAAGACTTACAGAATCAATTTGAGCAAGTTCGTCAAAAACAGCAGGTCTTGCGAGTAATTTCACATAGACTAATGTCGGAAAGCGCACATCAATAAGGATGTTGTTGTATATGGCTAGTCCAAATAATAATCCAATTAGTCCGAATTCATCATCACAAAAGTTGCACTGGGAATTGAACCAATATAAACCCGTTTTTTCATTTAAAATAAACATTCCTAAAATAATGATGAACTGAAGCAAAACACCACGAGTAGTACCAAAATAGAGATATAAATAAGGAGTTCGTTCCATAGATAAGCAAATTTAAGCAACATACTGTTACAAAACAACAAATAAACATAACAAAATAATATTAAATTATTTGCTTCTGTGCATATCATTTAATATCTAAAAAAAGGAAAAAAAAAATTGCGAAACGAACCGTAATCTGGACAAAACAGTTCGTCAGTTATTAGCTGATAGAACTCTTTCGATACACCTCCTTCGTCTACAGCTTGTTCACCATCAAACTGAATCCGAAGCTGCTTCTTGAAGTTAGCTGAATTATCTATTGCAATTGCAGCAAGCTAGAAATAGCACAATGATAAAGCATTAAAATTGTCAAACGGTGACTGAGAGGATCAGTCTACAAAATTCGTAAGTAATACATCAACTGATCAACCAACTTCATAAAACTGAACATCCGCAAGATGATGTGGTTAGTAACATTATCGCAAACACTGAATAAGTAAGACCTATAATGTTACTCAAGACTATCTTCCAAAAAAAAAAGAGTGTAAAAAAATCAAATAATGAACTTTGATGGAAACTAAAGAAAAAACCGTACACTATCCAAAGCATCACGTATAATATTGTCGCGTCGAACATTTAATTTCAAATATGGTTCCATCGAGACACCGAATGTTATAGCATCAGCCAATGCTTGTCTACGTTCACTTCTCTGACGAATTCGATTATTTAGGTAGAGAAAACGCTGTTTCACTTCGGTTGTTAATATGAATGAATATTCAGGCATCACCGAAAATGCATGTCCGTTCTCAAAAGACTAAAAAAATTCATTAATTCTGTTTATGCATAAAATGTGGTAAAGTAAAGTCACATTTTAATAATCAGAAGACATACAGTAAATATATCCCAAAAATTTTAAATAAGTCAAGATGCTATGCTAGACGTTAGCAAACTCAATTTACATGAGAAAACGCTTCGCTTGTAATCTGAAATTATGAGACAACATGGAACATGTCACGAAAAAAACTTCGGCGCACCAAAACTATATCACTTAACATCGAATTCGCTGAACTAACGTCGAAAAAAAAAAAATCTTATTTTGATTGAAATCAGAAATTTTATGTTAAAGTAGCAATACACAACCTTATATGCAACGAAATCATCCTGAACTGAAATATTATCACTTAGTGTTGAATTCATCAGTTCTGTTAAGGGCAAACAAGTTTTCGTTACTACCCATGCATCAATCGGTGCTCCTTTTGCTAATCGGATTTCTTCTTCTTCGTCTAGTTCAATACCTGCAAATGAAGTTTTCTTATGTGAAATGAGGACAGTAAATGGGAAGTAATCCTTCTCACAATACGAAATCAATGAAATCATTTGTTACTATCATTTATTACCATAAATAAATGGTAAGGTTCAGAACTGTGAGATTGATCAAACAGTAATAATTATTTCTTTGTGAAAGTAGCCAAAATAAAGTAGAAAGCGAACCGCTATAAGTAAACGCCTCCAAAAATGATGAAAAATTTCGCCGCCTGTTTGCTCGTAAATTTGTTCCATTACCTGAATAGTGAATAATTACTGAAGGTATAAGAATTTTCAATAGAAATTTTTCTTCCCATTGAAGAAAGAAATACGCAAGGTGGTTACTAAAGGAAATTCATATTAACCTGCTCCCTTCGTAATACTTTTTTTATGAAAAATATACCAAAGCATTTCTGCCACATAAAAATATAAAAAAACAATTTGATTAATCAGTGAAGAAAGAGGAAAATGAGATATTACCGATAAGTAGTGATAGTAACATTATGGAAGACTTCAATTACATGTAGCTAATGTCTTTTTACATCAACGATAGGATGTTGTTAGTCATAAGAGATGATAAAAATCTCAAAATATGATAAATTATTGTTGAAATGACTAGAAACTATTTGAAATAAAACGCACTAGTTTCTGCATTCACTGCTGAGAAGGCTGCATTATGCGCGCTCGTCGTTTCATTAGTCGTAATATCTAAATGGAAATGCTAGAAAAATAAAGCTATAAGACTGCGCACAACACTATCTGAAATTTCAAAAATGAGAAAAATACATTAAAAATACACGAAAACAGAGATACATATATTCCAAATATAGCAAAACCATTGACTTAATAATTTTTAAGATCAAAAAATGAAGCATACTCCAAGGCAGAATCATATCACGTCTGGATCTGATCAAAGTTGCTTTGTACAATATAGATAAGGCCTGAATTGCAGCCGGTAATGGTTCAATTCGATCAGTAAATAATGGTAAGCTTCCAACAGCATCAATCACAGTTAAGACACGAAGAGTAATTGCCTAGAATGAAACATGACACCAAAAGTTCATCAATAGCAATAAGAATAATCAATGGCATCCGAAAAAAAAAAAAAAAAAAACATAAATAGGTAATTTATGGAAATTTTAGATAAAACAAAAGTCAAGAAAAGATACCTGTTGCATAAGGTTAATACGTTCCTGTATCCATTGGGATCCAAAACTAGCCCACACTGATGCCAATGCCATTTGACCTTCTTCTGATAAATTTGAACACATTTTACATAGTGGCGTAAAGCCTACTTCGATAAATTCAAGCCACTGGACGAAAGGTAATTCGAACATTAAACATATAATGTGTACAACACCAGCTGGATCACGCTCCCACGCTCGTTCATATTGCAGCTGAAAAGATTAGTATGGTCACTCAGTATTGTTTTTTATTGCTCAAAATAAAAACATATACAGTTGTGAAGCAGGGATTTTCTAGCACTTAGAGAAATATTCAGAAGCGACATAGGGTTTATCACCGGAAAGAGAATATTATAGAATTTGTGGAAATGATAATCAAGCTCATTTGATCTATGAAATTCTGAAATATAAGATTCATTTCAGAATCTTTACCTGGAAATCAATTATGCTACAAAGTTGAGCTACTGCACCCATTGCCGCATTTAAATAATTCTTGTGCTCAGTTGTTTCGATGAAGAGCAAACGAAAACAACGCCGTGCTGCATCCATATCCGTTGGTGATCTTAATACAATTAACTTATTTCAAAGAATTTCAGAGAACTTCTAATTACTTGAGAGAGTTCCGAAAATTTTCTGGGATTTAGTACCAAACAATTTATGAAGATAATGCTTACTTTCCTTCCCGTAGTTGTGCAATGACTTCTGAAATTTCTTCCACTGATCGTGTAGTTTTTTCCTGCAGTATTAGAAATCAGTTTCAATTATATGAAGTACAAACACAACATGAAATGGGAAAGATTTTTTACTACAACAAAGGAGCTACCGATTCGCATATTTTTGTTTTCAATTACCTCATTCATCCATCCATAATAATTAGAATTCTTCTGCGATGCGCTGCTTGCATACTGCATACTACTTGAATCAGATGCTGATCTGAAAATAAATATATTTTCTTCATTCTCGGTCTTTAAAATAATTTTCTTTCCAAGAACTAATTCTCACTTCAAAAAACCTAATTCTTACTACAAATTAGTCTCTTTTTAATTTCTGTGGCAATTTGAGTCTACCATAAAACAAGCAATTAAGTAATGGCTATAACAGAACATACCTTGTAAGTTCACTTGCCAATGCACGAGAAAGTGGCATTTCAGTGGAAGTATCTGAATGAGAAGACTGAGTTGTATCCAATGCTAATTCACTATTTGTCCTTTCTCCACGACTATATTTTCGATCTAATTTTTCTTCCATTTCTTTTTCTCCTATGATACATATGCAATTTTAGCATATATATGTTTTTAGATGAGTTTTAATTAAACTCATTGAATAACAATTTACCACAGCTAACAGTAATAGAAGAGGTATCTGTCTTGGTTTCCAACTGCTGCTCTGTACCACTTACATCGACCTGTGCTCTTCGTTTCCGTTGTGAAACTGATTGTTGTTCAATTGATGTATCCATTATCCCAGAATCTACTGCATTCTGCAACGTTGGAAGACATTTGTCAAATAATTTAAGATTTTAAATTTTCACTTTCTTTTGATATTACTATTTCGATTTTCATTCTCTTCTCATTATGCCTCATATTTATAGCATGTTTTAACTTTCCTACATATTTACAGAACATTATTCATAGAATAAGAGCAAAAAATACCCCATCTAGTTGTGTCTGAAAACTGCTACTGCGGAATGAACTCAGCAACGCTATACGACTACCTAATAAACGTTCCAGATAAGCTCTTATCCAATACCAATCATCGTTTGCTCGACATTTCTCCAGCAATTTTTTCACTGTTTCTTCATTTAGTGATTCCTGTGGATCTGTTGCTTTCACTGTCAAAAATTCTGGAAATTTCAACTCAGAACAAAATAGTTAATGATACGAAAAAGGAACAAATAAAATATATGAACAGAATAGCCTAAATTTGCATAAATGACATTAAAATGTGCTGACAAGTAAACTGAGAAGGCATCTGATGCTGAGGGAAGAAGGAGACCATGCATGGGTTATAACATTCAAGATAATCCAGGAATGGTATGCAAATTCAGGAACAATAAAAATAATGCACTCATAAACTCAGATTTTCGTAATAACTCATGAACAATGACATAGAGAATTAAAATATATTAGATTCAACTTATCAAGAAACAGAAAATTACTTATTTTCACAAATTTCTTCTATCAATTAAGAACAGAAATTTCTGAGAAATAAATAGCTATATCATTGTTATTTACCTGGAAGTGGTTCGCATAATCGTGCTTTATCTCGTAAACAGATAATCGCTTTGGCTGCAGCTTCATTACTTGTTAACTTTGGCAGTTTTCCGGATGATGCACAGTTCTCGTTGGAACAATATAATCGTCCACAACCAACTAGTAACTGCAATAAATTAGGTGATTTAAATGAACGAATTATTTCTTTTTAAAAAAATATAAATATGGATTGATTCTTCCATATGTTTAGGTAGCTCCACACGAGACCTCAGTTCAACTAGTTTGAACTTTAAGTTCAGTGAAGTTATGACTAGTAATGAATAAATTCCGACCTAGATCCAACCAAATAGAAAACTGCAAATAATATGTATCAACAAACAATTTAGAGTTAACAGCCCTCCCCTAAATCACTTAATTGAAATTATCAAATTTCGCGACAAATCTCTTCCCAATCACACTTTTTTTCTGGAGCAAATGAGACATATTCTTATTAAAAACTAGCAAAGAGTATAGCATTATATTCAAATGATTCTTTTCATTATATAGAATTGCAAAAACAAAAATGTAAAAAAGGAAGAAACTATTAGACAAGCTAATAGTACAATAAGTTAATATTTAGAATTATTTGTTCTAATTACGGCAATTAATAATTTTGAAGGTAGAATATATAAATTTTCTTCCAACTAACCATAAAACATAAAAGATGAGGAAATTTATTCTAATTAAGAAACTCTATGTGAATGTTAGCGAATCGATTCGATAATCTGTTTCATTGATGTGAATTAACGTGAAATTAATGAACAGCCTAACCTGTTTATGATATCTTCCAATAGCTATCTTCAAAGTCTGTGGAGGTCCATGTCGATGAGTATCATCACATTCTCGTTCATCAGATCCATTCATCTTTAAAAAAAAAAAAAAAATCAGCTACGTGTTTTTCACTCTAAAAAGTTACTACTGGATTTCGAATCCGGAAACGAACACGGAATCCGGGATAGCATTTCAACACAAAACCATGTACCGAAAAAAAAAGAAGACACCCAAGCACACAGACGCGTACGCACACTTAAAACAGAAAATCATTACAACATCCGACCATACAACCGTACCCGAAATTTCGTTTCGTGACCTATTTTGAAATTAAAATTGAATTTCAATGAAATACTCAATAAAAGTTACAATTGATATTTATTCCAAATTGGGAATGATTTTTTGTTTTTTGGGGAATTTAAATTCTAAAATCTTCCAGAAAATTTTAACAAAATTCTAACAAAATAAAAATTGAAACCTTTAGAAGGGATTTTAAAAAAGTTAGTGAACTTTTTTTTTGATCTAATACGATTCTAAAGTTTGAAATTTAAATTCTAGAAATATATTTGAAACGAACTGCACCAACAATCTTCTTACTTTTTGACGATAACTTCAAATTAAGGTATGAATACACATATTTGTGTATTCATGTATGTGTAATTGTGCATTTACGTGTACGTGTACGTGTACGTGTGAGTGTTCAAGCTATGACAAAACGAACGAATTGTATATTGGAATTTAGTTTGGGAATATTTATTTTATTTATTGCTAGTATATGATATAAAAGAATGTAAAAGACAATTTACTATTTTATTGATATTAAATTTCAAATAATAAATCTGTGACAGTTTAATTAGCTAAATATTGAATATTTGTTAGCGAACGAACATCAATCATTTAAAACCATCGTTTCATAGTTTTTCATTTGTCACTATATCAGCCTATTGGACTATTTTTGCTAGCTGAATGAATAAATTTGAATAATTTGATATTCTTTCATAAATAACTGCAATTCGATCACTAACACTTTTTTCTAATAAATTTTTAGTAAAATTTTTTTCGCTCAAAAAATCTTTTTTAACCTACAATGAAAATAAAAAAGGAAAATTAGTAATTGAAGAAATGATATTTGTTTGAAATTAAATAAACTTGGAACTGAACTCATCGACTTATCGAACTTATCAATTAAAATTCATTTCACTCTTTTTATCAACAAATATTTCCTAAGAAAGTATTTGATTAGTCGAAGACTAATTACTAGGTCAAATGTCAATTTGCTGTTTATTTCATTTTGCTCAAATTTCATCAAATTTTATTTACAATAACTGTTATTGTTATTGCTATGCTGACAATGACCTCTTATAATTACTCATACTAAAATGTAATGGCTATTTTATAAATTTTCTGGACAAATTGATAAATTTGATATTATTTTATTTGCTTGAATTCAAAGTGGTATTAAAAATTTCTATCATTCAAATAATTCAGAAGTTATTTCTTCAAAAATTGAGATTTTTTGATGCTTATTGAATGCATAAATTGTTTTTCAAAATCAGAACTTAAGTTAAGCTATGAGAATTATTTCATTAATTAATGAAATGAGAAATTCGTTAGCAAAAGTAAAGAAAAATAGAGATAACAAGTGGTTATCAAAAAAGAAATTTTTGCAGAGCTTTAAATTACATGGAAATTGATAAGAAGATTATCAAATTACATAATTTAATGAGAAATTATCAAATATCAAGAGTAGCAAGATCATTGTGGATATGAACAGGTGCTATTACATTTGATAAATATTAGAATTGTGCTTCCAGTTATTTAATTCCTGAATTCTTCAATAACATATTTATTTTTTTTCATATGTAGAATACTTTCTAGAAAATAAAGTAAGGATGACAAATAGAAATTTCATGATAATCGTTAATTTTAAAATTACTCCTTTAAATAAATTCATTCTTTCTTGTACACTCTCTTTAACAATTTACATTCATGAAAAATAGAATGAACCTAAATTAAATTAAGAATACAAAGCTCTGTTCTCAATTATTTGATTAAAAATTTATATATAACCAAAAGAAATTAAATTTTAATTTTCAAATCCCTTTGCTTACGAGAATTGCTACAATGTCGTATGAATATGATAAGATCAAAAATTTGACATAAAGAAAGCACGAAGAATAATGGTTTACAATAATGATTAATGGTTGAACATATTGAATTTTGTTTTGAATTTTATTTATGAAGGAGAAAACGATGAACTACAAAGGTTCCTTCCTTTCTTTCTCTTTCTTCTCTCTTTAATCCATGAACAGAGATGACAATGACAATGACAATGACGACACGACGACAATGACAACGATGACACTGACTACTAGACTACTACTTCCTTTGGTCATTTCTCTTTTCTCATTTCTTTTGCAATTCATCAAAATTGATTATTCATTATTCTCCGATCCTAACAATATACCAATCAATTAAAATATTAGGATGGAAAATTTTAAAAATTATAATCTTTCCTCTTGCATATTTCTCATTCATTATCTGCTCGCCCATCTGTTCTATATCTTCTTTCTTTCTTTTTTTCATTTTCGTTTCATTTCAACTCATTAATAATTTTAAATTTAATTTGTTTACCATTTCACTATTTGTCAAAAAAAAAAAAAAAATTCAGCTAAATTTGAAATAGTCATATGAGGCATATTTTCACTCTCTTCTAGCTTCTTCATCTTTATCATTTTGATAGTTGCTCAAGCAAATCAAAGTTCCAATAATAATTTTGATCTTTGAAAACAAAACAATCAATTGATATATTTAGTTCTTTTTTTTTTTTTAGTTTCTTTTCTTTCTCTTATGATTTATTTAAAATTTGATACTTTTGTTTAATCATTCTTAACAATTCTTTTAACGCAAATAATCATTTTGAAAATATAATTTGTTCGAAGATTTTTTGTTGCATTGCAATTGAGAAATCAATGATAAATGATTTACTTAAAGTTATACTTTTCAATATTATTCTTGGCTCTTTATAATTTCATTGCTATTTTCATATCAAAAAAAAAAAGAAAAATTCTTGCAAAACAGAAAAACTTATCCAATAAACGAAAACTTCCTAATCCTTTAGAAACTTATCAATTTATTCATTTTGTTATTTATTTAAAAAAGAAAATCTTCAAATGAATGTGAAATGATATGAAGTGGTTTAACCTAGAAGTTTCCTTACATTTCATTCAAGTTTAGCGCCGCTGATAACACTGATAAAAGTTATCAGGAACAATTACTATTATATGCATCTAAACTATTCCTTTTACTCTCACTCTTATTCATTTAAATATTTTGCTCACATTTTTAACAAATTACATAGATAGATGATTTCGAACTTTTTTTTTTTCAATTTAGTCCCTGGTCGAGGAGCAAATAAAAAATAATAAATGAATGAAAAAAAAAATAACAATTAAGTTTGTTTTGTAAAAGATTTCAATTTCAAAAAAAAAAAAAAAATTAGCATTAAAAATTTTTAATATTGCCATTAGCCACGTGGGATGAAAAAAGTTAAAATTATAATATTTTCAAATATTTACTTTTTATTTCTCAAACACACACACATACACATACACTCTATCAAGTAGAAATTTATGGAAAAAAAGCACATAAAAAAGTGGTTTTTTGATTTTGTAGAAAAAAAAGGACAATTCAAGGTTGTTGCACATTTTTAAAAATTAATGGCTACGTGCTATGAATTATGATAAAGCTATCAATATGATAGCATAAACAATCTGATAAATTTTTTTGGAAAGATTCAGGCAAAAAAAAAAAGAGAGAGAGAAACCGTCCATTTGTTAAAAATTCTATTTCATCGAGATTTTCTTTTTTCTAGTATTATCAATTAGCAATGAAAAATTTAATTAATTTAACAAAATATAATAACTTTCCCTTTTTTTTTTTATCTGTTTACTTAAATTATTAATCTCATAGAATGATGAATATTACATAAATTGAAATTTCTATGATCAAAGATAATGTAAAATTATGAAAATGGAAACCTTTTATTATAAAAGTATCAAAAATGCTAATAATAGTAATTTGAATCGTAATTTTTCCTAATTTAACTCTTTTTTTTCTTCTTTCTCTCTTATTGGAAATTTATCAAATTAATTTGATAGAAATATGTTTTAATCACATTTGTACACATATATTTACTACTATATAATGTGATATTATCAAAATGAATTTAATATTGAATTTATCACTTATCACTGAATTATCACTTATCACTGGTTTCTTTCACATAATAAATGATATAAAACGGTTTCATCTTTTTTTTTTTCTTGTGTAACAAAAAGGAAACGAGAGAGAGAGAGAGAGAGAGAGGAAGAGAAAGACAAAAGATGGAGTAAATTATCATCCATCCATTAATTTTACAAATTTTTTGAAAATAACAAAAAATTTGTTGACAGTTTTTTTTTTTTTTTCAACGAATGACTTGCTGAAACTAAATGACAAAATATGTGGTTGAAATTTGTTTTTTACAAACCTTAAAATAACTTTTTTTTAATACTTTTTAAATACAATAACGATTTAAGTAAGAGTTAAATAATAGACGGTAATGATAAATAAATATTTTATCATAAATTAAATATTTATCATTTTTATTTCCATTTGCGCATTATTTCCTGTGCCGCTTCTTCTCCATCAAATTATGTATTGATGTGACGAATAACATGACAAACTAGCACCTGCTAATTTGATGATTTATATTGAATGACACATCTTTTCTGATGTTATACTATATGACAGCTGGTGTCCTAGAAATTTTATACAAAGATTGAAAAAGAAAAAAAAAAGACAAAATCTATAAATTGAATTATTTCTCGAAAATTATCATCCCATCAATTTGAATAAAATAAAATCATTTATTTTATTGAAGAAAATATTATATTAATTTTCTTCAGAAAAAAGAAAAGAAAATTAATTATTTCTTTTTCTTTTTTATTAAACAACATTTATCGTTTTTTTTTTTTTTTTTTTAAATTTCAAATTGTGTAGTATGAATTAAATAGTAATGCTTGGTATATGCTACAAATTCCCTGTCAATT